AATGTCCAAGAAGTTCTTTTGAAGGTAAACATGAGATATCAAGGCCTTGAAATTTGTGATTAGTTGAGGGCAGAGAGCCTAGCTTTCTGCTGGGAAAACATTATTCTTTTAAATGTCAACAAAAGCTAAGTAAACTGCTGAAACCTGAAATGTTTTTGAAAAATGCCCAGATGCTAATCTGCTTTCAAATGGACCAAGTTGTCTTTTTACAGTGAGAGGGACTTACGGGGCGAGCATGTATTGACCCATGAGACTGAAAATGCCTTGTAGCCAGTGGTGAACCCAAAGACAGGTGCCCGGATAAACGAATGAATGCAGATTAAGGAATTGCTCATCTTACATTGCTTGAGAAATCACATTAATACCTAAGTTTTATTTAGAGTAAAAATGTTCATGCTTTAAATATGTAAATTTTAAAGATATTTCTATCCCACAAGTCTAGCAAATATAGTACTTTAATAGTAGAGGTCTGGGTTTCCTACTTAATGGAGTTTTTCTAATAGCTTTCTCATGTTTGCTTTCTCATTTCTATTTTATTTTTTTTCCTGGACCATTTGAAAGTATCTTATATACAGTCCATCTTTATATCTTTACAATCATTAAAAAGTACCTTTTATCATAGTTTTGTAGATTTGATCAAGGATTCAGTCAAGGATTATAAATAGCCTTTGGTTATCATGTCTCTTTAGTCTCCTTTATGAATGGTCTCATCTTCCTGCCTTTCTTCTTTTTCCCTATTTGGTATTTCACAACATTAACTTGTTTGAAAAGTCTAAGGCAGTTGTCTGGAAGCATGCCTTTCCGTCTGGGTTCTTCTCACTTGGTTTCCTAATGATCAGATTCAGGTTAAACATTGCTAGCGAGAATACACTGCTTCTCCTCAGGAGGTACTCGATCTGATGTTAGGCAGGCTGACTTGAATCCCTTGGTTAGGTTGGTGTTCGCTGGACCTCTCCATTGCAAAGGCCCCTAATCTTGATAACTGACAAATAATTCGTGGGATAATTCTTGGAGACTGTATATGCATGTCTCGTTCCCTACCTGCCAGTCATTCATTCACCTGGTAGTTTTAGAATTCACTTTTCATGCATACGTGTAACAGTTATGTTGGTGGTTTGCAATAGGGTGCTCACAGAATTTTTGAAGTCCCTTTACTGGAGAAAAATTCTCCTTTTCATCCCCATCCCTGTTTGGGAAAAATATTTAGGCCCCAAAGACAGGTAGCAGAGGAGTTGATGAGACTGAAACTGAGAACAGCTGTCTAAACATATGTTAACATTTATAATGTGCAGAGTGTCTCCTCTTACTGTGCTAGTGTGTGTACAGGAAAGCTGAGAGGGGGAAGTGCGGGGAAGGGGGAGAGCGTGCACAAGCATGAATGCTTCGTTTTGGGGGTTTGCACTTAAAATAATGTTTATGGATGCAGATGAGGAAAAACAAATTGCCATTCTTATTTCCTTCTACATTGGAGAATTCAACAATAATGAGATGAATTTTCATACAACAGTCATAATCTGAACAGATATTTGATGTTTGCCTTCTCATTTGAAAGTGCCTCAGAAGTAGTTCTTCATGAGGCTTGTTAGATTGAAATCGAATGGGCATCAAAACCATGGAATTCTTTTGAAAGGTAGGGGGGTAAACAGAAATTGTTTAGTGGGAGCTTTCTTGATCTGGGCTTCTAATCCTTTTGGGAATTTATCCTAAGGCTTTTATACCTACCCTGCTCCTGACTGGCTCACTCAGTGACTCAGTGCTATCTGATGAGGATCTTATTTCACCCTTGAAAGCAGTGTTGTTCTCTGTTGGGGTCTTAGGGGGTAGCAGGACAAGCTTGACTTTAGGCAAAATGCAATATAAAACCCACCCATCCATCTTGAAATTAGAGAGTACCCTGCATGCAATGTAAGGTCTCCCACTTGCATTGCAGTTCGTAATGAAAAGATGTTTATTTTTGAAGCACTTAACTATCTATCCTACCTAAACAAAACTCTTCTTTAGATACTGGGGTGAAGACCTTACTAGGCACTCTAAGAATTCATTTATAATTTGCTTCACTTTTCTTTTCAGTGTTTTGTAAGAGGATTTTGGACACTATTTTTGTGATAGGTAGACCTAGGCCTGTGCCTTCTCTTAGCCATGAATTTTCACATTGTGTCCTTAAAGTCTGGCAAAAATAGTTTGCCTCTGTTTTGCTGGTATGGTATGATCTCATATCACTTTTTTTTTCTCTCTCATTGGGATCCTGCCAAGTAAGGCTTGGTATGGGGTGATTTATAAAATTTACATTAGCTTATTCCATTTCTATGTTTGGTTAGAGCTCAATACTCCTTATGTTTCCTTGATGAGTTCTCACACTATGTTTCTGGCATATCTTATGGTATTGTTATTGGTTCTAGAATATGAATGTAGGCAGTACCTTGCTAATTCAAGCAGCTGAGCTTTATAGGCTGCAAGGTTGAGCAGTTCACTTGAAGGAATCATTTCAGTTTTGAGTCTTGAGACAGTGGATCCCCAAAACTAATTGGTTTATTAGATTAGCATGTACCTGGCAAGTATAATAATTCTGCAGGAGGCTTGAGGTTACAGCAAAGCTAGTGTCTTTCTGTGACTATTTCCAGTGCTCTTGATGTGTAGTGTGCCTCCCCCAGCCCCAGCCCCAGCCCCAGCCCCAGGCCCAGCCCCAGCCCAGTGTGTGTGACACAAAGCAGGGAACCTGCTCACAGTTGGCACGCAGCTGATAGCTTCATACTGTATTTGACACCATCATGAACGAGAAAGTTCTGAAATATCTCCTGTTTTTAAACACTTGGACTCACACTCTAAGCATGATGCCAAAGAATATTTAGCATTTTAGTTCTTTGCAAAGAATATTTATTATAAGGGCTTGTAAAGTACAAGTGCTTGAATCACAGGGGTAGGTTCATACTTGTCAAGCAGGTTTCTACAACACTGAAAACTGTACAGGGTTTACTTATTTAGTGTGGGCAGTCTTTTAAAACAGTTGATTTTAGTTGAGTTTCTCTTAGAGCTTGACTTAATTACGAGAGAAGGAATTAAAATGGCAACAAAACTGTGGCTGCATGTGCTATGATGGAAGATACTGTCTTCCTTCTAGGCGTGCCACAGTGTGTGGTCTAAAGCAACACGGAGGCTCCATCTATAGTTGTTGAATGACATTTTCAAATTAGTTGCTAAATTCCTCTGGTCCTCGGTTTCTCCGTCTCTCATCACCACCTCATTTGACCTTACACAGATTGCCATTTTCTCTTCTTCCTGCCACTCACCCCTCACCCCTTACGCCCGACACTGTTCCTGCTCTTAACATTGCTGGGCCCGTAGAGGTGGAGAGACCAGTCTGTACCAGGTACTGTGTTAGGATCCTGCAGAACTAAGGCCTGGCACTTGCCCTCAAGAGGCCAGAGCCCAGGATAGGTGCATTAGTCATGTAGAGAGGTCCGAAAAGTCCAAACCATGGTGTGAGGCTGGCAGAGTGGGGGCTGGGGGCAGTTTAAGGAAAGGCATGGTCAGCTTTACCTGGAGGGATCAGACTTGGCCTCATAATAACCCTAGAGCAGAGGCATTAAGGACAAGCTCCCCTGGCAGTGGGGGAAAATTCTCCAGGGGGTGGAGAAGGTAAGTCCTATGTTTTGTGTGTTGGCCAAGAGTGTCCTGTTGGGGATTTTGGTGAATATAATTAAAAGATCTAGGAGAAGAAGAGAGCAAGGCATGGTGAATGCAACTGGATGCAGGGGATATGCTGCAGTTTGGGAAGGAGGGGCAGATGCTGGATCTGGAAGGAAGTGAATGCACATCTTAGAAGAGGTGCAGTAAAGGGCCTCAAAGTCTTGGTGAGGTCAGACAGCAAGTGAAGGCGGAGGAGCTGGTCAAATGGAAAGATGTGCTCAGTGAGGCGGGTAAAGTGAGGAGCCTGACTCGAAGAGACTCAGGGTGGGAGCAGGGGCATACATTGCTGAGAAGGCCCTGTTCTTGGATCTCTGCCCTCTCACTGACCTGTCTTTCCTTGGGCAACATCCTCTCCGCTGTCTCTCACGCACAACCAGCCCACATTGCCCACTTTACCTCCACTGGCTTAAAGTAACCACATTTGTTACTCAAGGAAACTGGATATAAAACCTTTTAAAATCAACCTTCCCATGTTTGAATTGACTATTTTTTAGTGTCCAGTGTGCACCTCATAAGACTGTTCTCACCCATACCCCTTTATAGTCATGTGTCTGTATGGCTTTATCTCCTAAATGATAAGCCACTGGAGCCCACTGGCTGAGTTTGTTTTTGTTATTTGCTTTGGGCAAGTACCTGGCACTCCTATGTGTAAATATTTGTGGAAGAAAGGAAGGAAAAGGGAAGGAAGGGGATAAGGAAATTGAAGTTGAAATTGAGGGAAAGAAGGAATTTGAGACTGAAGACTTATACACTTTACCACCTGAGCTCTGAAGGTTATGTAGATTGCAGTGGAAACCGAAGGAGAGCCCATGAGCACCTGTGGGGGATGAGGAGGACGGTAGTGGTGCAAACTAGGGAGCTGAGTTAAGAACAGTAATGGGGAGAGGTCAGGGTAAGAAGGGTGAGTATGTGCAGCCTTGTTCAAAGAAGTCGACATTTCGAGGAAGGTTTGATGACAGTTATAAAGGAATTTTAGAGGGCACAGTGGGGAATGGGCTGGGAGGGGACCTGGTTGAGTCAAGATACACTGAAACCCACAACTTTGGATAAATACTGCTTCTATGGGAAATATGTCAATGAGATTGACTCTTCAACTCTTACTCTCGGAAGTCCCTTGGATGGAGGCTTCGTGGGAGAACAGATAATAGCAGCAACAACAATAATATTTATGAAGTGCTTGTGTTACGTCATTTAGTCTCACCACAGCCCTATGAGTCTGTATCATCATCTTTCCCATTTCACAAATGAGGAAGAATGGGTAAATGGCATTCCCAGTCCTCACATTGCTCCTAATTCGGCCACTTATTTTATAGTCAAGGCAGCACATGCTGGAACCAGCCAGGTCCCCTGGGAGCATCAGGACCTCTGTCTCAACACCTGAAGCCTGGCCAGTTGAAGGCCTTCCTGGTGGCTCAAGCAAGTGGCACCAGCGGAATCCTGCTGCCACTTGCTTGAGCCCCAGAAGTTCAGCCGAAACCATACTGCCACACTGGGAACCTGATGGGTTTTACTGCTGCCTTCTGAAAACAGGGGTTTAGTTTAATGGTAAAATAGAGGTAAATACAATAAGAAAGGGGGAGAGAAGAAAAGAGCACCTTCATGGTAGGAAGAATCCTACTCCTTAAAATTCCAGGAGACTACATTTCTGTCTTCTAGATAACATGTATACTTTCAGCCCGAGTCAGCGGTGAGCTGGAAGAGGAAGGCATGGATAACAAGAATATGGGTTTTGTTTATTGGGGGGAAAAATGGACTCATGGGGATCGAAGAACAGGGGCAGTCAACAAGTTTTAAAATCCGGCAGCACAGGGTGTTCTAATTCAATGGATTCTTGAGGTTGGATTCTCTTGTTTCTGTGAGAGAGTCTTTTCTTTTGTGTTGGCTGACAGGGGTCCTCAGTGGCCTTCTGGGGGTGCTGTCTTCCCCAAAATGAGAGCACTTGCTGCCTGAGCCAGCGGAAGGCCCACCTGAAGTTGAGGCAGGAGAGGGCTTGTGTGCTGGCATGACTGTCCTCCTCCTCCTCCAGCTGATCTGATGAGCTTGAGGAGGTCTCTGCGGTGCCTGTTCTTTCGCTGCCACTTGTTTGGCTTATTGTCTGCCAAGGAAATGAGTGATGGGTAAGGTATGTGTCATCTGGACACCATGGGGTCCATACTTACCCATTTATGTGGCTCAAAGCCCTTTACCAAAAAATAACCCAACTGTAAATGTAAAGTTTCCATGCTCATTAATACTGTACACACACACACACACTCATACACACACACACACACACTTTTTTGTGGTCATGATTATTAGCCTTTACTTTGCTTTCCTATCCTTGTCTCTCCCTCAGTGGTTCTTACTAATTTGCCTTCAACTCCACCCTGACCGCTTTCCTTGCTGTTATCTGTCTCCCACTACTCCTGGCCATGTGAGACACCCAGAGGGCCACCCTGCTTCATTGCAGGTAGCAATGCTTCCTGCCTTCCACCCTGGCCCCTCCATCAGGCCTGTCCCATGCTGGCCTGTGAGGCATCTCTGGGCCCACCTGAGCAAGTTCATGTTCCTGAATCCTTGGAGGAACCTGTGGAAACTGGATGACAACCTCGTTTGCTGGTGGGTCGAGTGGGGGCAAGCCTTGGCAAGGGTCGTGCTCTTGATGACTGACCTGCGCCATGTGCGGGGAGGTGCTGCCGGACAGCTGCACATCTTCCTTTTGAGCAGGTTCAGGGAACACAGACTCATCATCTTTGTCATCTCTCTGATTTTCTAAAAATTGCTCAAGCTTTTGCACAAGACCATTCAGTTTGCTGAGAGTCAGTTGTGTCTTCTCTTTGGGGTACTTGTTTATCCACAGGCTGTCTCCATGGAGACCCCAGCTGATGACGGAGTCTGAATGGTTAGAGCTCATGTCAGTATCACAGGCCAGGGTGATGCTCAGTTTGCAGAATTGCTCTGGGTCGTCCTGAATGTGGTCTTGTCTCTCCAGGAGTCTCCCTCCAGTGTCAGTCTGCCATGACCCTTGGAAAGGAGGGACAGAATGGATTGAGGGACCCTCGGCAAATGTATCCTCATGGGAGACTGTGTTCTCGTAGGCAAAGGTGTCCTCACCGGGGTAGTAGCCCACAGAGAGGCTCAGGCTCGATGCGGAGCTGTGGCCCTCCGTGTCAGCACAGCTGCTGCTGGAGAGTGAGTCCGCCATGGATTCAAAGGCTCAAATGTAAGGTCTCCCTCATCTCAGGAATCTTCAAAAGAAAGAAAAAGTGCATGAGATTGGTAAGATGAAGAGGGTTGTCTGTGCATGTAAGCAGTGACATTATCCATTCCTTTTTCCATTTGGAACTATCCCACTCCGATAGACGTTTATCCTGTTTTGCAATCTCCAATGAAGGGCAAAAGAGGCAGCCCTCCCCCTTAAAAAATCTTTCTTTGTATAACAGTCCTTCTACTAAGCATCTTTGCCTGATGCCTCACATCTTTGGTCTTAGTGCAGCTGGGTGAACTTATAAAAGAAAAATGATCATTGTATAAAATTTTAAAAATATAAAAAATATAAAGATGACAGGTTCAATTCTCAGTCAGGGCACATGCCTGGCTTGTAGGCCATGGCCCCCAGCAACCACACATTGATGTTTCTCTTTCTCTCTTTCTCCCTCCCTTCCCTCTCTAGAAATAAATAAATAACATATTTAAAATATTATATATATAAAGATGAAATTATCTCTTTGTTCAGAGATAATTATAACCTCATAAAACATTTTGGTGGATTTCCTTATAATTTTTTTCTTATGTACACACATTTATACATAGACATACTCCCATTCACATACATATGTGGCTATGAATGTCACATCTGTTGAAACAGATTATTTTATGGCATAACCTACAATAAACATATATTTGGGAACTCTGTCGTTTTCAACCACTTTCTTATTAATATTAGGTGGTGTATATTGTTTCTAATAAATAAATATGCAGTAAACCCCCTTGTCTATAAGTCTTTGTCTCTATATTCCTGTGTGTGAGTTTAATGGATCAAAGAGCACAAACATATTAAAGGCTCCTGACAGTGGATACCAAACTGCTTCCAGAAAGGTGATAGTCATTTAGATAACCATCCCCCCTACCATCTGATGGCATTTTTTTGTCCAGCTTTTCTTACTATGGCCCAGTAAGTTGGAGGGGGGGCAGGGAAGGAGGATACACACACACACACCTACGTGCACTGTGCAGACTCTGCTGGTCTCTGGCCTGGTGGCTGCCCACATGAAATACATGCTGTCAACTTAGCCTTAAACTCGATGTTCAAAATCCTTCAGCTCCTGTGTCTCCATGGCTAAAAGTATAACAGCCAGAGGTCTGTGTTCTGGACTGTTGGTTACCATGGCAACACAAAGATCCATGTTATAGTCAGACAAATGGAAAGAGAAAAAGGGGATAGAAAGCCACAAGAGCTATCCCTTGCTTCCAGAATATTCAATTACCATACCATCCTGGGCTGAAGAGGATTCCTCTTGAGGGTGAAGGATGGTTGCTTCTACAGTGGTGGTTATTTCCCTCTTACTGTGTAGGTGTCTAAGATGCTTCCTATTTCAAGGGAATTTAGAGCCTATTTGGTGAGGTGGACATAAACATGCTGTTATAGCACAGAGAGGTAAGTGCAGCAATAGAACTTAAAAATAATGGGGTAGAAGAACAAAGGGGGTGCTTGTGTAACCTTGGTTGAGATTGGTATAGAGGAATCAGGAAAAGCCTCCTCAGGAGATTGGGTGGTGATGTTCATTTATCAGGCACTCTTCCAGGCAATTCAAAGTATATTGAAATACTTGACATGGTTAAAACAAACAAAATGAAACTTCTAATGGACTTGGCAGCATGAAAATGATTGCTTGGCTTTAATGAGAATGGAATCAAAAAGTTTGCACTGGGTTGAGGGATGAATGAGGGGAGAGGAAGTAGGAACGGTGGACAGAGACTGGGCTTTTGGGGTGTCTGAATGAGAAAGCGAGAGGATGGTGCAGGGTCAAAGTTAGTTTCTGTACACACCTGCAAATAAAAAGAGGGTAAGGAGTCAGTACTGGGGAGAGTTCAACATGTAAAGGTTGGCTGCTTCGTTTGCAGAAAGTAAGGGTGGGATCCATGGCATGGGAAGGCGGGTTGGTTGTGATAAAAGGAGTGTATTGTTCCATGATGTTGGAAGGGAAAAAATGAAAATGGATGTGGCAAAATTTGGAGGAATGCATTGTTAAATACCACATTTTCTTCTTTGAGATTTTCAGCTTCTGCCTTATTCCTGAGATTAAATCAGCATTTTTAAAAAACACCAGATCTGGTAGTTGGTTCTTTTTCTTGTTCTCCTTGTTTCTGACATTATCTTGACTGCCTCTTCAGTAACAGGAAGTGTCTTGGTCCCTCTGGAATTGCTTTCTTTGTCTTCTTCTTCCCCTGGGCATCCCTGCCGCTTGCTTGCTCACCACGCCCTCTCACCTCCCAGGCTGCCCTTCCCTTAGCCTCTGTCATTAACCCTTCCCTTCCTACAGCATCATGCAATTATCTGGGAATTGGTCAGATAATAGCTCCACAGTGATCCAGTCTGGTCACTTTGCTTTCACCGCTGTGGTGTTCTCAGTGGGTACTTCGTGGGTGGAGATAGTAAATCTTTCCTTGTATGTTTCAGAGGGGGAGAGGGAGGGGGAAAGGGAGAGGGGTTTTGAAGACAGGTGTGGGTCCTCATGTAGGATTGAAGGCTCTCAGTTGCATAGACTAAACCAAATAAACCTTTTCTACAAGCAGTTATCATGGTCAATGTCACTACAGCAGCCTCAAGTCTGGTCTAAACTGTGAGGCAGTGCGAGACTGTTCTAGTCAGTTCGGTCATTTTTAGGAAGGGAGTAGGGCGTCCACTCAGAGTTTCCTAGGGATGGATTGCATGTGTACTTTGGAAAAGTACATTCTTATATTAACATTGCTTAGACTTGCTTTTGCTTTATGCTTTTCAAAAAAAAATTTCAAGTTTTAAATAGCATTAAAAGAAACCATACATTTTAAAAATATTTATGAAAAAGAGGCATGGCTTTAAACACACATGCCCATGCATGCACACACATATACATTTCTTTTAAAATATGCAGCTCAAATAGTAAAAGTCCCTGAAACTCCTCTTCTGCCCCAGAAAAAAGGAAACTGTTAATAGTTCAGTATATTAATTCACTCAGATATTTTTTTCTGGAAGTAGCAGTGACACATGTCACCCTTTGGATGCCACAGTGCAGCGTGTGGTAAGTTCTGAAAGACAACTTGGCTTTCAACTCTCACAACAGACCAGGGATTTGGTTTTCCTTAACAATACCCTTGCGCTAATTTCTTTAAGGCCGATTTGACTTGCCGGCCGGGCTTCTCTTGGATCGCAGGCATATTACCTAAAAAGCTTAAGCTGGCTCTTCGTTACCTTTTCTCTTGAAGCAAATCGTCCGTAATAAAAGCCTCTTGAGGTTTTAAAATGATAGTATGTCGTGAATTTACAGTGTTTTAGGCCCGAAGCCAGTAATAATGGTAACCTTAAAATTGGACCACTTCCTAAAATCCATTTGACTTGATGGGATTTGGAAAGCTTATAATTTAGAAATTAAGCAGCTGTTATGGTTAATTTTATGTGTTAATCTGAGTGGGCCTTTATCGAGTAACCCAGATATTTATTTGGTTAGACATTATTCTGGGTGTGTCTGGGAGGGTGTTTCTGGAGGAGATGTACATTGGAATCATTGGACTGAATAAAGCAGGTGGCCCTCCTCAGTGTGGGCGGGGCATCGTCCAACCCTCTGAAGACCTGAATAGAACAAATAACTAAGAAAGGGAGACTCTCTCTGACTGTCTTTGAGCTGGGACATTGGTCTTCTCTTGTCTTTGTGCTCAGACTGGATATGACATCTTCAGCTCTCCTGGTTCTCAGGCCTCAGGCCTTGGACTGGAACTTACATGGTCAGCATTCCTGGTTTCCAGGCCATCGGACTCTGACTAGAACAATGCCATCAGCTCTCCTGGGTCTCCAGTTGCCAATGGCAGATCTTGGGGATTTTCAGCCTCCATAACTCTGTGAGCTAGTTCATTATGATGAACCTCCTTTTTAAAATTCATATGTGTGTGTTGTGTGTTTATATGTATATATACACATATACATATTTGTTCTATTGGTTCTATGGAGAATCCAGACTAATACAGCTGCTTGTTCTTCATTTTATGAAATTATGAAATATTTTTAACCATGCAAAAATAAACATCATGGACTCTGTGATACCATGTGCTGAGGACACAACATCATCTCTGTGGTAGTCTTGCCAATAATGCATACTCTCGGACTAATAATGAGACACAATCAGACAAACCCCAATTGTGAGACATTCAACAGAATAACTGTTTAAGTGTCAAGGTCAGAAAAGGCAAGGAAAAACTGAGAAACTGCCACAGATTGCAGAAAACTAAGGAGAAATAGCAACTACATGCACTGCAGGACTCTAGATAGGGCTATAGAATAGGTGAAGAACATTAGTGTAAAACCTGGCGAGATTCCAGTATGTGTATTTCAGTTAATAGTGCGATACCAGTTAATTTCCTGTTCTGATTATTTTCGTGTTAAAATGTTAACATTAGGGTGAAGCATGTATGAAGACTCTGTTAGCAACTCCTCTGTAAGTCTAAAATTAGGCCAGAATAAAATACTTTGAAAGAATACCTAAGTGGAGTGAATGATGCAGCAAAAACCTCTATACTTAATAACTCATTCTGGTCGTCTGAACACTTTACCATAGTTGATCGATCGTTTCTTTGAAGAGAAACAAAGCATTCTGCATAAAACTCAAGTTCCCTTGTACTCCTTCCCCAACGCCCATCTCTCCCCTCTTCTGCCGCTGTGATCACCATTCTGAAAATGGTGTTTGTCTCGAGCATGCTGAGGACCGCTGTACACATTAAGGTATCATTTACCTTTGAAGACAAAAACCAATGTAAATATGAATGTACTTAATAAACTGAATTGTACATTTAAAAGTGGTTAAGCTGGTGAATTTCGTGCTATGTATATTTTACTACAATAAAGATAATTGGGAAAAATCCAATGTAAATAGACTGTAAGGGATGCTCTTTAGAAAAGAGGATGTCCCTTATTCTCGTGGCTTGTTGTGTTTTATAAGAACTATTGTGACAAGG